CTGGGCCATGGCCCTCAACACGTCGACCGCTCACCTGCCTTCTGCCCACAGCTCCTCACCCCCGGCGCCCATGCTCCCCCAGCCCCGTGAGAGGGCACCCTCCTCCTGCTGGCACCCAGCCGCCCCTCCTGCTCTGCAGGACTCCTGGTCTATCCAGTACCTCTCTCCTCCAACCCGCGACCCACAGAGGCTCTGTCTCGCTTTCTCAACTATTATCCCCTTTGATTTGGACGTCAGGTTAGTGGACAGAATTAGATCACCATCCTCAGACTGGCACAAAGGGCCTTCCAACGCCCCACGCACGTGCCAGCGCATACACACACGCACATTTTTGTTCAATCTCTTTTTGTCCCCTTCAATCTCAGCTTCTGATCCATTGCTCCTACCCCGTCTCCCAGCTCCTTCCGTGTCATTCCGTCAGGGTGAGATGCACTGCTGTTGACACGTGCACAGCCGCCCAGGCCCGGCCATCTGCACATGCACGGCCGCCCCGCACACAGTGGGGGCGCTTCTCTCCCTCCCAGGAGCAGCCTCTCAGCAGCCTTCTGAGTGTCCTTTCTTCCCTTAGGGCAGCCCAAGTCTTCTCCTCCATGTCCTTGGCTTCCTCCTCTTTCTCTTTGATCCCTTAAATGTCCTTTAAAGTCTATCCAGAGCCCTCTGACTGCCTTTCCCATCTGCTCACTCCCCTCCATCCCACTGCCCTGCATTAACTGGGTTGCACCTTTTCTCTCCTGGGTGACAGCGACAGCCTCTACCGGCCTCCCTACCTCCACTCCTCTCTGCACAGACCCCTGCACTCCTAGGGGCAAGGCCCAGGTCCTTCCATCTCCACATCCACAGTGCAGGGCCCACAGCACTTGCTGTGGTGAGTGAAGGGTTCTGATCATGGGGAGCCAGTGGGTAGAGAACAGGCCAGCCCGAGGTCCTGGGGCTCTGCCTCTCCTCCCCTTTGGCTGGGGTCTGTGGGGGGTCAGTGTGTCCCCACCCCCATCCTCTTCTGCTCAGACACTGAGCTGGGGGAGATCAGGGGCCACACCTCGGCCACCCGCAGAGCCCTTTCTACAAGTCTTAGAGGGACCAGCGGGGGGTGTGCAGAGGGAGCTACACTGGGGGGAGTGGGGACCTGCCCTCCCCCCCATGCAGGTAGATGCCCTGTTCCTGGTTAACGCCACCCAGAGGGAGGGCAGGGGCTTCTGGGCAGCCCAGTGCCATCTCTGTTGACCATGTGGCCCTGATGGGTAATAAGTCCAGTCACCTTTCTTCCCATAGGACTATTGCCCAGCCCCATCTTTCCTGCTCCATGCAGCGCCTGCACGTGTGTGCTCGCAGGCTCCTGAGCCTTTGGGACTCTGGGCTGTGGAGCTCGGTGCCTCCCAGAGTTGCCCAGCACTTGTCCTGGCTGAGCAGGGGGAGCTGCATCCTCCCCTTGGTATGGACACAAACCCCACCCTTTGCTTTTCTTGGAGGCCAGAGAAGACTTTGGTAGGGGCCCTTCCCCCGGGACTTTTCCCCAGGTGTGACAATTAGGAGTCCAGGGAGCAGAGATGGCCCAGCGCTGGCCACATCGCTCAGCAGTCGCAGCCCACAGCTGGGATCCAGCCCCACATGGCTACAGACATGGTTGCCTGCTTAGCCCAGAAGGCTGGCATCACTTCTTCAACTTGCCCTGGGGGCTTCCTCCCCAGCCTGAAGCCAGCTGTAGGTGGCACGAAAGAAGGCATTTCCACAGACCTGCCAGCTACAGGTCTTTGCCCACTTACCGTCATCCTTCAGCCTTCAATCACTCAATTCCCATTTTACAGAATGGGAAGCTGAGGCGCAAAGAGTTGGGTGTAACCTGCACAATGTGGCAAAGCAGGGACTTGAGGCTTGTTTGGTCTTATTCCCAAACCAGGGTCCTTAACTTCTCTGTCAATTGAGAGGCATCATCAGATGACAAGGAAGTTTGTCTCTTTGATACCAAGTCCCCAGAGGGCACTGTGGGCTGGCCCATGGGGATGGGTGGGACTTCCCCTGGTGGCTTTCCCTTGAATCATCTATTCTAGAATCTGGCCTGAGCTGATCTGCACAGCTGGGGACTCCACTTTCTCCCACTTTGGTGATCTTGGCATCAGGAGAGTCGTTTCTATGCCCCCAGGCCGATGACGTTGGGTGCTTACAGGATGTGTGTGTTCTGAGGAGCCGCGGCTGGTGTTCGTGCCTCGGTATCAGCAATCTGCACCCCACTTCCGAGGGCTGCACAAAAACATGACAAATAGGCATGTGGGACGTGTGTATGTGGCAGACGTGGGCCACGTGTGCTATGTGTGGTGCGTGTACTGCAGTGTGTGCTGTGTGGTATGTGTGAGTCCATGCTTGTGAATGGTGTGTGTGCATCTGTGTGGTGTTTGTGTGGCGGGGGACGTGCTGTGTGCAGTGTGAGCAGTGTGTGGTGTGTGCACGTGTGTGGTCTAGTGTGGACTGTGTGCCTGTGTGTGATGTGCGTAGGTGTGTGGCGTGTGCACGTGTGTGGTCTGGTGTGTAGTGTGTGCTGTGTGGGGGTGGATGTGGACGTGTGTGGTGGCTGGCGTGTGCACGGGTGGTGTCATAGGGGTGGTGTGTGGGGAGTGCGTGGGCATCTCTGCATCTTTGGGCGATGCCCACCAGTGTCCCTCGACCCTCCGGGGCTGGGAGTGGCTGGGGCGCCGCCAGGCTCTCTGGGCAGGAAGAGGAGGCCTT